TTAATTGAAAATTCACAAATAAAATATGAAGAAAAAATATATTTTTAATAATGAATTAATATTTTTTAAATATACAAAATTTAATATTATAATTTAATAAATTATTTGTTAAAATTATAAATATGTTAATTAAGAATGTCAATGATTTGCGTACGTCAGGAATCAAATGCTTTAATACAGTATCATTGATCACTAATTTAAAATATATTAATGTCATTTATCAAAAATTAAAGTTTGTAAGTTGTAACAATCAATTTTTTTTTTTATATTTATAGGTTATGTACGTTAAAATAATAGATTAAATGATCATTAATTTTTATACTCTATCTTAATTATATTTTTTGAAATCATATATGATTAGGAAGTTATGATGATACTAAAATAGAATGATAATAATTTTAATTTTAATTTTAATTGATATGTAATTATTTATATTAATTATAATTTTAAATTTGATTACATTATTTTAAAAATGTATTTTACATTATGAAGACAAAAATATATTATTTTTTTATATTTTATTGACAAAAAAAAATCTTAAGTTGTTACCATTTATTATAATAATGACTATAATTTCAACTTCATAAAATTTCTTCAAAATTTTATAGAGAGTTCTTATAATTTTATTTTAAAAGAATTGTTTAGTGTATTCTTTTTAAATTTTGTTGTGAAATGTTATAAAAAAAAAGTTTAAAGTTAAGTGCCACATTTTATTAATTCAATTTTTTTTTTTGGAGATATTTAAAATATATGACAACAAATCTAAAATATATGACAACTAATGACTAATTTAAATATATTCATGTCATTTATGAAAATTAAAGTCTGTAAGAATCAAATTTATTATTTTTGATATTTATGAGTTATGGACGTTAAAATAATTAGTTTAAATGTCTATCAAAATTTTATAGTGTATCTTAATTATGCTTTTAGAAATTATATATGATCAAAAAGTTATGGTAGTAGTAAAATGCAACAAAGGTAATTCAAATTTTAATTGATATGTAATTATTTGTATTAGTTATAATTTTAAATTTGATTATATTGTTTTAAAAATATATTTTATCGAATGGAAATAAAATATATTACCTTTTATGTTTTACTATTATAAAAGTATTTACTTAAATTATTACTTTTTTATTATAATAATGATCGTTATTTGAACTTTATAAAATTTCTTTAAAATTTTATAGAAAGTTTTATAATTTTTTTTTAAATCTTAAATCTTAAATTGTAAAAAATGTGACATCCTTACTACCCTAACATATATATTGTAATAATATAAATAAAACTAACGAATAAATTTTTCAACGTTAGTAAAAAAGGTTCACATAAAATCTTCATAACTATTATATCCAAAATAATTGAAAATAAAATCTAAGAGTTTACAAATTATTTTCAAAATAATAAGTACAACTCCAAATACATATAAAAATTCGTGTCCTAGAAAATTCTCTACCCCGATGTCACAATATTAGAGCACACACACAACTCATCTGTTGGCATTCTGGATGCCACTCATAGTCGGATCTTCCTCACTTAAAACATCCACAAATTGTACGGTGAGAAAAGAAAACATCTATATGCATGTAAAGTACACAAGGAAAAACCACAACATAATCTCATCATAACTCATTACTTAATGAAATATTTACAACCATTTCTATATATCTTAATTCTATCAATTATGCATCATCTTCACATCACAATTCACAATCACACCAATCCATCACATCATATAATTTGTACTATGTTAAGCTCACGCCACCCCTGTAGCATCTCATGCCCAAGGTCGTGCATGCCAACATAAACACTAATTGCCACACATAAATCTTGCAATTAACACTATGTCATGCTCACGCCAACCCTGTAGCATTTCTTGCCCAAGGTCGTTCCACGTCGACATATACATGTTAATTACCTCAAACATCCCACACTATGCCATGCTCACGCCACCCCTATAGCTTCTCATGCCCAGGGTCGTGCCACGATGACATAAATGTGAGGAACCACAATCATATCACATTTCATTCATAATCATCATAAATCTTGCGATTAACACTATGTCATGCTCACGTCACCCCTATAGCATCTCTTGCCCAAGGTCATGCCACGCCGACATATGTGTTAATTGTCTCACACATCCCACACTATGTCAGGCTCAAGCCACCCTTATAACATCTCTTGCCCAAGGTCGTCCCACACCGACATAAGTGTAAGGAACCACAACCATATCACATTTTATTCATAATCATCACAAATCTTGCAATTAACACTATGTCATGCCCACGCCACCCTTGTAGCATCTCTTGCCCAAGGACGTGCCACGCCGACATATGTGTTAATTGCCTCACACATCCCACACTATGCTAGGCTCACGCCACCCCTGTAGCATCTCTTGCCCAAGGTCGTGCCACGCTGACATAAGTGTAAGGAAACACAATCATATCATATTCACATTCAACACAACATCTCATTTCATGCCAACATACTCACATCATAATTAATTAAACAATTAAGCCATAACATACCATTTCGCCACATCATGCTATTAATTCAATACTAAAACAGTAGATACAATATGTATGCATTTGTGCCAAGACATCACACCACAGTCCATAACTCAATTCCACATCATATACACAATATGGATAAATCCACACAAAACAATGGTTCACATACACCTCAAGCAATTCACCATGAATCCACATATTATCATTATACATATATGAACTAACTCTAAAACCTAGTATCATACTACTTTAAACAACTTTTCAATTCACATGATAACATCTTAGAACATCAAACAACATGCATTTCCCTTTGACAACTGTCAAAGAAAACAACATACAAAGAGTTATACTCATCCAAAGAAGCTCAAACCTATCTCAAAAGAAACATAAGAGGATAATATACAACTCTTATGAAGACATGAAATTCTAAAAACATCATCTACTTAGCTAAAAATGTCATAAACCGAAACAGATATGTTCCGATATTGCCTAAAAATCCCACATCGCTTAGGAGTCGAGGCTAAGGGTAGTTTATGGACACCCTTCCTCCTTAACCCACCGAGGCACCTTTTAAAGGACAAAACCGTGACGGCCCAACGAGTGCCAAAGCGGACAATACCTCGGATACGATGACCCTAACGATGACAGCGGACTTATGGTAGGAACATTTGGGAATAGAAGGAGGGCCCAGGCCACTCTTGCCCCTTAGCATCGACTGGGAGGCTTGTTCCGGTATGCCTAAAAGTCCCAC